TTTTCAAAAGATAAAATAATATGGGTATACAGTAAAATCTTCACAGAACATTGACTTTCCCACTTTAAAGACAGACATGTGTATATGTTGATCTTTTCCGCTCAACTGTAAGCCCCTCTGAAGCAAAGGGACAGGTTGTTCATCTTTGTGCTTCACATTTATTCAGTCCCTGAATAAATGTTTGTCAAGTAAAAACAATTGTTAAAGCCATTTAAGATTAAGAGTAATGACAAACACAAGTTTTTCATTGTCTTGTTTTTTACCTGGGGAATGATGCCAGCCTGGCTTTCTTCTTGTTTGCCCATCATTGTATAAGACTTCCCAGCACCAGTCTGTCCATAGGCAAAAATACAGACATTATATCCCTCAAAGGCATGTAAGAGCATTTCCTTTCCGATGTCATTGTACACACGGTTTTGAGATGCAAAACAGGGATCTTCCGGCTGTAAAGATTAAAAGGAGAAATAAATGGCATTTTATTCATATTTTTTTCTATACTTATTTGATTGCTTCCATAATAAACAAAAGTGTCTGGAATCATAAGTCACCTAAAAAATACCATACTTTTTTTTTAATAAACAGGGTCTCACTATGTTGCCCATGCTGAAGCGCAGTGGCTAATCACTGGTGCTGTCATCACACACCACAGCCCCGAGTCCTGGGCTCAAGTGATCCTCCCGCCTCAACCTCCTGAGTAGCTAGGACTACAGGTGTGCACCACTGCACCTGACTGACTATACACTTTTTAAGTCTCCCAAACACACAGTTTATTTTTCTCACTAAACACACACACGCACACACGCACGCACTATTAGAGTCATCCAGGTCAGCCACATATCAAAATACCTGCACGAAATTATCTGGCATGATTATCTGACATTTCACTTTCTATAATCTGAAAAGTATCACTTTTTAATTCAGAGAGAGCTCCAAGATTTACTTAGTAGAAAATAGGAATAAAAGAAAAAAGGTCAAGTCCCACATATAAAAATACTTGTTTGAACTCACTCCAGCTAGTGTGGTTATTTCTCAATAAACATGGCTTTCAGTGAAGAATGCTTCCAATTCCTTTCACAGGCCGTTCCCTTGACAATTATGCTTTGACAATACTTTAAAATATCTCCTATTCCCCAATACAAAACAGGAAAAACAAAAACACATAACAAAGAGAAGGATGATGCAGAAGCAGCTCTAGTTCGGGAACAATCCCCAGAAGCATCAAGACATGGGGCTCTGCACTGAGTAAGGGTATCGTGAAGGGCCCTGTTCTACCCTTTCCGAGATGCTAGGAACCTTTTGTTTTCCACGTGGATCTGCAGGTTCTTTCAAAATGTTCAAAACTCACATTGTTCTACTACAATTTTAAAGAACAAGTAATTTCACCGTACTCATTACAATATTGCCAGTCATTCCCTCAAAATACAACTTAAAATTGACACTATAATAAACAACCTTTAATTTGGCATTTCCTAAGATCCATAGGTACAATAATGTTCATAATGAGAATCCTAAGATATAGATAAGTACATCCTCAAGAGATGTCTACACTGGCATAAATTTGGTGTAGCTTCACTATAAATTTGGTATAAATTAAATCAGCTTTACATGTATGCATCAACCAAGACATTTTATTAAGGAAAATACTTCATTCTTCAGATAGTATTCACTATATCAAAAAATGAAATCATGCTAGACCACACTTAAAAAGCAAGACTTGGCCGTGCTCTGGCGAAGAGAAAAGACAAACAGGAAGGGAAAGGGGTGTCGGGAGAGGGTGGCACACTGTACCATGACTGCACTCACCGAGGTGTGAGACCAGTAGGAATAGTCGAAGCTGAAGGACTTCGGAGCTTCCTTTGGGTTCTTTGGGTTAATAATACCTAGAGGATGAAAATGTTTAATTTTATAAGCCGCTCAGTTACAAGTTCTTTAAACATGATGTGATGTTATACGTTCAAAATATCCAAATCAGAAAATTCATACCACTGAATCTGAACAGGGCAACCAAAGAAATATTTGTATACATAATCACACTTTTAAGAGGTAATTTATATGTGGAACTCGAAAAAAATCAGACCAACAACATTCACTGGGTATTATCAGTATTCAGAACAGAGCCTGATATAAAGTAGATGCTCAGTAAATATTCTGAGACTGAACGTTTATCTTCCTTAGGTAAGTTAGCAGCCAAAATTTGGAAGTGGGCCACATTACTATTTCAAAGTACCTCATAAGGCTTGAAATAT